AAAAAGATGCATGAGGGGCTGGAGGATGTCCTGGTTTGTTCACAAGTACAGCAGGGTTCAGGTTTCAACATGTTCCTATCACTGATAGCTCAGTGGGAAGCTCATGCAGGAATCCAGACATGCAACTTGTTTTTCACAGACAACTACTCGCCCTGGCACAACAATCCCACCAGGGGAGGAAGGGGCCTCGAGTTTCTGTTCGCTTGGTCAGGTGAGAGAGCACCTTATCGATGGCAAATCATGTCAATGTGTTTAAAGAACTGATAAAATCAGAAGGTCAGAGAGCAAGAAGGGGAGACAGAGAAAGTTGAGATTTTATGGCTTTCCTACAAAAGACAAAGCAAGAAGGGACAATTCTTAGTGCCTTGTATAAAAAACCCATCTGACTAGTCTACAACCTTATCTCCCCTTCACTCCCCACCCCAGACCCAAATGTCCTCTTTGCTCAAGCCAAGCCTCTATGTTCAAATAAGATCAAATGACCAGAATTTTCTTCCTCTTGTATTTCACCAGGCTAAGTCATATACAATATAGACTTCCCCAAAATATTAACACTCATTAGTTCCAAGTGGTGAGATTAGAAATGATTTTCATTTTACTTTTTATGCTTTCACCCCAATCTTTCACAATAAGTATGTATTATTATTGTAATAATGAGATAAAAATGTAAAAATCAGCCAATGTTAAATAAATCCATTGTCTCTATCCTAGCTTCTCTCCCAGAATCTCCAGTGACTATATATCACATTAACCTCTGCCTGCTCAGAGTTACTAAGACCTTTTTCTTTGTGTATGCAGTATTCATTTTATTTCTTAGTTGGATATTTTTATGCCTGTTTTCTCATCTAACCATCATAATAGCCTGTAAACTAGGACAATTGCCCCCATTTTGCAGATGAGAAAAGAGAGGCACAGAGAGGCCGGTGATTTGCATATGTTCATATATTTAGTGCCAGACTCAAGTCTCAAACACATCTCTTCTAGACTCTTCTAGCTGTTGCACTTGACAGTGTTCATGGGACTTTTCTAAATGGTCCCACTGATGCCCAAAGGTACATTACTTAGTCTTGGGTGTCAGGGAGTGAATGAGGCACTAGGTCTGGATATATATGAACATGTTCATAATACAGAGCATACTCTCTTCTACTGAAATCTCCCAAAGAGAATTCTTCTCTACCAGCTCATTCCCAGGTGTCTGGCTGCCCTTCTCTTGCATCCTGAACAAGCCTCGGATTGAGAACTATTGAAGAGAGATTTTGATGAAATAATAAATAACTTCTTCTCATCACTACCACTTAACCTCCACAATGTTTGCTTGTAATACTTTGATATTCCTAAGGGAACTGGCAGTCTTGGGAGGACAGAGCTTGTGGCAAGACCTCAAGTACATCCTGCTTCTTGTAGTGTGGAGTGAAGCAGACAGTGCAGGCTCTTGAAAGAGCAGGACCATCTTTATTCTGAGCCCACCGACCTGGAAATGCAAGAAATACCACCACTTGTTGGGTCACGATCTACCTACATATCCCAGTGCTCAATCCCTATCCAGATACCTCTACCACCAAAGATGAACTCCTGAGTCTTAATGAATCTTATTCAGAAGGAAATTTGCCTCAATGTTTTGGCCTGGCTTCTACTGGGAATCCTTCCACCTCAAAATATTATTTGAAACCAATGCAACATTTGAGAGGAGAGAACTGGAGATGTCACCTCTATTTGAAACTTAGCAAAAAGGCAGTCAGCAGGGAGTGGGATTGCATTTTGTGAGTTATGATAACAGACTGTGAAATGAAATTAAACTGATGCTTTTGACTTGCACCAGTTGGGAACAATTATGCATTGCATAAGTGACTAAGACAGGTTTGGGTTCAATGGCAGATAGTCACAGAACCAAATCTCAATAGAAAAGATCCAGAAAAGGGAGAATACCAACAATATTTAACATTTTCTCAATAAAAACTTAAACAGTCTCATTCTCTCTATTTTATAGTTGGAGAAATAGAGGCAGAAAAATTAACTTACCCAAGGTCATTCAGCAAATAATCATTGCAGCTGGGATTAGAACTCAGGCAGCAAGAATCTAGGGCAAAGGTGTTTTCTACCTTTGCTATACATATGGC